TGCAAAACAAGGAGGAGGCAATCTCTCAACTCCTTCTGCAGACAGCTCCCCTCCATCACCTGTAATATGGTTTACCTTGCGCGCCTCAGTTTTCAGTGCTGGCTGCCCTGGTGGGTCTACTGACTCTCCATTCACTGTCGGCAAGATCATGCCCTGGGTGAACTCTGAAAAGACAAAATCCCAGCTTGTGGAAGTTATTTCTTAGTAGCTGAGATGGAGGTTTCATTACAGCCTAATGAACACAGGTGTCTTAATGCACTGAAGTGGTGACCCGAGAAGAAACAGTCTACTTTACGTGACACCCGTTTATGCAGGAGAGGTTTCTGAGTGTATGCTATAGAACAGAGTACATTCACTGGTATTACCTTTAAAAGCTTAAAACCTTGACCCAGTCGGAAACATTACAATTTGTTAAGTGCATATGAGGTCTACTACCAAAAGTAGTCAGTGCATGAATGGCACTTCTGCGACTTCAAGAGTGGGCAACACATCCGCTACTTAGGGATGCATATTTAGTCCCTTTGCACTCTGCAGAGGTAGAACAACTATAATGAGCCATACCACTGGAGACACTAGTTCCCACTAAAAAGGTAATCACTTTCTAGGGCAGTTCCCTTTGATGGTCATTATATGTATTCCAACACCAACGCCAGAACAAAGTGACACAAGTGAGACCCTGGGGGAAAGCAGTGCTGACCACTCTTCTAACCATCTAAACCACCTAACCCGGAGAATACACAGTAAAGGTAGTCTGGGACTAGACTCAAGGGGGAAGCCAAGGCTTGAGGTCAGTGCTGTTCAATGGAAATTTGTAATTTTAAATATTCTAGTAGCCACATTAAGAAAAAAACAGGTGAAATTAATTTTACTTGTATATTTAGCCTAATGTACCCAACTATTATTTCAACATATTAGTACTAAAAGATTGTGATTTTTTTTGTATTAAGTCTTCAAAATATACTGCATTTTATGCTCTCTGCATATCTCAATTTGTTTTTTTTTTTTTTGTTTTTTTTTTTGGTTTTTCTCCGGTACCGGGAACCGAACTCATGACCTTGCGCTTGCCAAGCAGGCGCTTTTGCCGCTGAGCTAAATCCCCAGCCCCGCATATCTCAATTTGGACTAGCCACATCTTATAAGTTTAAGCGCCAACATATTATACAACACAGCTCCAGATCTTTCCCTTCTTAGAGTTTACAGACTGACTTGGGATATGAAATAAGCACCCAACCCCAAAATCTTCACCCATTTGCCAAAGGAAGGACAGTCAAGCCCCTTAGTCAAAGTCCGGCATGTAGAAGACTGCCTCCCTTCAGGCATTTGTAACTACTCAAGGATACCTGTTTTGAGGGTGCTGATGTAAATCCCCACTGCTTCTCTTAGAAGTTTCACCCCTTCTTCCTTCATTAAGGCCACGAGATTTGTGTCAGGCTCATCTTTGGCAAGGCTCACACTAATCTGAGTGGAAGATACGAAACAGGTGATAAAAAAATTGAGGGACACCCTCGGATGTGGATGATGATCAATCAGGTAACTGCTGACATTTCCAAAGAAAATGGTAGAGCTGGAGTATTGACACAGTCCCCGTAAGTGTTCCTTCTTGAGTCTTCTCTCCTGAGGCAAACGTGGCTAACCTTAGAACCCATTTCATTCGCTATAGTAAAAGCAAACAAACAAAGGGCACTTGCTCTGAAGCTTCCAATGGTACCATATACCAAGAAAGTCTTCTGCAGCCTGGGGTTCTGAATGCTTTGAAAAGCCTGGGCTATTTATTTTAAGTGACAGATCATTGTTCCCATCTAAGAATAAGACGCTAGGGAGGACTGAGATGAGAAATTAGGAAGCACAAACCTCCACTTCATCCACACTGTTTTCATCAGACAAATTGGGGATTTCCACATGTCCCTTGTACTGTACTCCTGACTTAGAGGTACCTGTCAAAAGCAATGCGAAGTCGTTAGTCTCTTCCTTTGCAGGAAGTCTCTATTCTAAGGTCCTAACAGAGTAACTACCCCACTTAAGCTTATTTTGGAGAGCTGAACATTCTTTAGTCTGAGGGAATGCTACATGTCAGGTGTAGTCAACCCCCTGCCAGACCAATGTCTTCTCTTCACCTAGTTACTGGAGAATAATTGTGTTACTAAAGTGTGGGACTGAGAACTATACAGACCAGGCACTAGCATGCATTTATTCCAATGTGACTGATATATTAGGAAACCATTTAATCATCAGAATTTCATTTTTCTCCTATGTGATTTCATCTATGAGAAACACTAGGGACACACAGAAAACCACACTTAGCTGAACCGGGCTGGTTAGGAAAACACACAACCTCAAATAGCTACTTCCCAACAACTTCAGTTGACCAGGTAATGAACCCCAGACAGAAACAGCTGGTGTTGTAACATTCCTTTTGATTTCAGAGGGCCCTCCTTCCAGCACTTCACAACAGCCATCAAGCTACCACCCTTTTGAGCCCCAATATCTCAAGGAAAGTTCAGGTCTTTTCAAGGCAAACCACAGTATTCTAGTATTTATGTGTTTCTTATCATTTACCTGTAAATACTTTTTATGTAACATCATCCAAGAGACATTAAATCAGAAGACAGATATGAAAACCCCAAATTACAGTCACACATAAGTTTCATTAGAACAGTAATCTAATCAGTCAGAGTCACACTGGAGGAATCTTTGAAAATGAACAGGACTAGAAAAATCTCCCTCTTCCTTTTAAGTCATTCACAAGGTAGATGTAACCAGCCCAAGGAAATATTGCCTTATGTATCTCAACTTTTCAACAAAGACCACGACTCCAAGACACAGGGTGTTAAGCCACTTCACTGGTGGGGACACAGGAGACCTAAAGATAGATATTCTACTTAGTGTCCCACAGTGGCAGAGAAATTTCAGCACCTAATAAGTACGGCTTCATTCCAAAGTCTTCAAAACAGCCACTGTCTTCTCCCTTCGAGAGCTTTTGACTCCTCAAAAGCTGTTCTCTCCATTTCAATGGAAATGTAGTTAACCTCCTCCCTGATGGGCTCTGCCAACACTTACCTGTCCAGTTTAGTTTGATGCTCCATTCATAAAAGAAGATGAGTTTGCCTTTTCGATTGTTAATGGATGCCTCTCCATCAAGCTTACTTACTTCTGTCACCTCACACTTGCCTTCCTCATTTTGCACCCGCACCGCCAGGAAAAGTGTTTTCAGCTTTTCCGTGGACCAATTTGACGCATCCCTCTCTGTCCTGCAAAACAGAAAGCAAGCTATGGACCAGCAGCAGGATGGAGGATATGCTGCTCTCTGCAAGAGAATGCCAGGCTAAAGGAGGCCTGACAGTTTTGAAAAGAATGAAAAAACTCTGATTCTAGTCATTATATCCACAAACACATCACTCTGTTTTAGGAAGACAAAGTATTACATTTTGTCAACAAAGCGCTGTACAGAATGGAACAAACTAAATGGAACGGTATGCCTTCCATTCTCAGCATGATGATACTTGATGCTTTAATATGGCACCCCCATTTGACCAAGAGAAAAACTGCACATACTCCTAAGGTCAGGAGCAGACTAGACCATAGGACACAATGTTTAGCTAAAAAAAACCCAGTAAAGAATAAACCAGTGAGGCCTGGCAGTACACGCCTGTAATCCCAGCACTCAGGAGGCTGAAGCATGAGGAACACTATGAGTTCGAGGTCAATTGAGGCTACATAGTGAGTTTAAGGCCACTCTGAGCTACATAGCAAGACCCTGTCTCAAAAAACAAAAAAAGAATAAACCAGAACTCTGACCTCAAACAACAGTGTTCTGACCTGTCAGGTCCACACTGTGCTATAAACTAACAACAAAAAGGAGGTCAAGTACTCTGTGCATCTTAATAGGAGATGGTGAGACAAGACAAAAATCACTTTCTCATTTTCTACACATTAGAATTAAAACAAAAACTAGCAAAAGGAGCTCTAACAGTAAAAATACCGTCGACAGTACGAACGAAGTTCCTAAGAATTCAAAGATAAGTAAACACAACTTTTGGAAGACTTCAAGGACACTCTTTTAAGAACCAACCACAATTGCCCGGCAACGCGAGTTACACTACTGCCAACTTAATAGTTCCGGGTGAGAGGCTGCAGCGTCCTCAGCATCCCAGAGCTCGGAACACCTGCAGAACACGTTCCAAACCTTCTCCCGCTGCACTGAGGCAGCGATCCCCTATGACTGACTTAATTTCACCGGAAAGCCGCAAAATAGGAATTACAGAGCCCTGGCCAGAAGACTTCCACAGCAATTTCCCAACACGAACAGAGTTTCCGTCTCACTGACTCCGGCCACGTGTAGGAAGCATCTCCCGTGCAGGCTGGCTGCAGCACCTACGGCGTTATGATCTCGTTTCTCTGAAATTCCTCCTCTGGGACGCAGCCGTCCTCGTCGACCCTCTCTCCCCAAACACTGAGACCGTGGCCGGGGGGTGGACGAGTCCGGGACTGCGGATCTCGGTCACAGGAAGACCCCACCCCTCCACTTCAGGGCAGGTTGCCCGGGGCCTCAGCTCTATCCCGACCCAGGTTCCAGAGGCACAAAACCCTAGCCTGGTCGCGGAGCTCCTGCGGCCTGCCCGGCTGGACCTCACCAGTGCCAGTTGTTGACGTTGGTGGCGTCTGCCCGCTCCTCCACGATCCAGCGTGGGTCGCCCTCACCCCACTTGGCCATCGGCTTTTCTATCTCGCCGCCACCAGCCCCCCAAGCAGCCGCAGTCACAGCCTCAGAACCGCTTGGTCCCAGCCGCCCGGCAGCGCCTGGAAACTACTAGAAGCGGCCGCGGAACCTCCTAGCTTGCTTTTCCCTCCACCCCACCCCCTCTCCGCCTGAACTTCCGGCTCCTCCCCACTCCCACCCGCTACTTCCGTTCCATCTTGCCAGACCGTAGGTTCGAATTGTTTTAAAGTTCCTTCCAATTCCCTCAGGTTATCCCCAGGTAGGCTCGAAATTCAGCCCCTACCATTGGCATTCCTCATCCGAGAAACACAAGGCATACAGCTCATTGTTTCCTTGGCCCTACAGCGGCTTGCTGAGCTCTCTGGGAGTTGTAGTTTTGGTTCGTGACCCTCTGGGTAACCACGGAAGGTCGCGCTGAAAGTAAAGGAAATGACCTCTATGGTGCGCTGGGGTCTCTGGGGGTGGTAGTCAAAAAGCTCCGAGGTCCATCGGGGTAGCGCGCGATAGCCGAGGCCAAAGAACTGCAACTTCCAGCATGCTCTGCGCCGGCGAACTTTCTCTTGCTCTTCCCCTCTCGACGGTCCTCTTTCGCCCCCTAGTCTGTGCCGCACAGCGTGGCTAGGAAGGCTGGTCCGGCGGCGGAGGCTGTTGCTGTGCTGAGAGGCAGGGCTCGGTGTGGAAGAGGTGAGGGTGTCCCACCCGCTTGGGCCGTGTATCAGGCTGAGTCTGTCCTCTCCACATCCTAATTTTTTTCTCCCTCTCTGAGGCGTTCCTACACCCGGTCCCGTAGCCTGACTGAGTCACGGCCACCCTCGGGAACCGGAGTAAGCTCGGGGTTGAGCCTCCCAGCGAGCCATAATCTTTACTTCAGAATGAGCTTTTCCTCTGCCAGGGACCGGCCAGGGTCTGGCGACTGCGGAAGACCGGCGGCTGTCTGGACGTTCGCCTGTAGAGTCATCCCGTTTTAACCCACGCTGTCTAGTCTCAGTGTACAGAGCTTTCCTTGAGACCCGGTGTGCCTTCTTATAGCTGGCTCCTAGAGTGTCCTGATTCAGGGAGCGTCTCGGTTGTGTTTTGTTTTGTTTTCGTGCTCCTTCTGTTTTCCTACGTCACGTCCCTCCCCTCGGATCGGTTACCTCTGTGGGTTCTCAGTGTACGCACAGGTGACGAGAAGACCCAATCTTTGAAGAATTATAAATCATGTTGAAGTACCTTTTTGGGTCACTTTTAAAATTGTACCTAATTGCTTTGTTACTTCTAGAGCTATTAAATCAGGTAAATCTAGCTTCTCTTTGGTACCACGAGTACAAATTGATGCCAGCCATTGTGTGGTTAAAACAAAACAAAACAAAAAAAGATTCCAAGATTCTGTGGTGGAATACAGGGTTTGTTAGGCACAGTCCATGCTAGCCTATAGATATTACTATAGTGAAGACCTGCCCTACGTTTCCCAAAAGTGAAAAGTAATGGTCTAGGAGCCAGAAAACCTGGCTTCGAAGTATGGAATAGGAGTGATTAACAAAGTTGCTTTCATACTTAATTCTTTTGTGCCTCATTTTCCTCATTAGTGAAATAGGAAATGAATCTGCCAGGCCTACCTTACAAGATTGTTCTGAGGATCAAATGAATGACGAAGTCTATAAAATTGAACATGTACCAGAGACATTTGTATGTTCTGAATATGCCTTTGACGTTGTGGCCATTTCAGAATTTTTGTATTAAATGACCCTTAAAATATTTTAAAATTTCTGTTTATTTGTTTGTTTTTGAGACAGGATATCGATGTGTAGCCCAGGCTGTCCCTGAACTCAGGATGATCCTCCTGCCTCAGCCTCCCAAGTGCGGGGATTACAGGCACTTGCCACCGAACAGGGCCTTATTATTTTTGGTTTTTTTTGAAACAGCATCTTGCTATGCAGCTCAGGCTTTCCTTGAACTCACTGTGTAGCCTAGTCACTTGTGGAAATCCTGCTTCAGCCTCCTGAATGCTGGTATTACAGATGTGTGCAATCACGCCTGGCTATGGTTGCTGCCTTTTTTTTTTTTTTTTTTTTAATCAGGAATTGAACTCAGGACCTTGCGCTTGCCAGACAGGCGCTATGCCGCTGAGCTATGTCCCTGGCACTAGGGTTGCTTTAAAATGCTTTTGTTTTTCCAGCTTTTTTTTCAAGGTACTATGGTTAATAAAAATTAATGAACACTAATTTTCTGTCAGGTGCTGAGCACTTACTGTTTTAATCCTCATAACAATCTGTAAGGTAGGTTGTCTAACATGCCAGTTTTACAGATGAGGAAACCAAGACAGAAAGATGTCAGAAAGACAACTGATACTAAAAGGAACTATCTTTTAGTATTTACTTTTGGTGATACACATCCCTTTGTTAGGGTTTTCTGAGTCCTACTTTATTCCAACCTTCTAAAGTAGGATATTGTTTTCTCCAAAGTTTAAAATAATTTATCTAGTTTGCTCAGAATCAGAAAAATCAAGATTTGAACTCAAGGCTGCTTGACTACAACACCAATGCCTGTGTCACCACAAGGGATAATATCATTGCATCTGCCAACTTTTTTTTTTAAATTGAATTTTGACTCCCTAGAATTAAATACAGAAAAAGATTTCTTTTTTCTTTCTTTTTCTTTTTTTCTTGTCTTTTTGAGACAGGGTCTCACTATGCAGTTCAGGCTGGACTTGAGTTCATTCTGTAGCCCAGACTGGTCTCAAACTTGCAACAATCGTCCTGCTTCAGCCTCCCAAGTGCTGAGATTACAGGTGTGCGCCCTCAGGCTCGGCCCAGAAAAGGACTTCTGCGCTACTTCTGGGTTCAGTAGGAAAAAATTAGTTACGTTTGCTGTTGGAAGGGACCAAGTAGCAGAATGTTCTTGCCACCTTTAGGTCCCCTTAGTTAAAAAAAGGAAGTGAGAGTACAGTGTGGTAAAAGCCATGAAGAGGGTGAATGGGTCTCCTATGAGGAGAATTTCTAAAGTTTTACTGAGAATTGTGCTATTGAAAAAAAAAGAAAAGAAATTGATCCGTTAGAATCTGGCACTGTGTAGCTTTTGGAATTGGTGCTGTGGAAGTTTTTTTTTTTTTTTTTAATTTATTTTTAACTGATTCATAAAAGCACAAAAGCTGTGGAAGTTCTGGAGCCTGGTTATTGGGTTAAACCATAGCTTTCACGCTAATCAAGCTGAGATTGATAGTTTAGTTTGTAATTCTTGGGTAAAACTTGGTTCCTGAGGGTGAAATCTAACTTTAGAGTAGTTGAAGAGTAGGTGTGGTCTTCTGACTATGCTTTATATTTTTGGCTATGCTTTCGTTTTCCAAATTTTGGCCAAGTTTATAATAGAGTAATCATGATTGGAGATATAATCAAGATAATTGTGCTTCTTTTAATTGCTTTGCTTTCACTCTTTCAGGCATTTAAAAGGTATATATGAAAGTGAAGTATTTGTTAATTTTATTCATTTAGTATTCCCAAAGCCTCACATAGTGCTTTAGAGATGTCACTCAGTAGATACATGTCGAAACATGAGTGCAGTTATTCCCTTTTATGTGTGCTTTGATTGATCTTTGTGTCTTCAGCAAACTTTGTTTTTTTTTTTTTTTTTGTTTTTCTCCGGTACCAGGAACCGAACTCACGACCTTGCGCTTGCCAGGCAAGCGCTTTTGCCGCTGAGCTAAATCCCCAGCCCCTCTTCAGCAAACTTTGTGATGAATTCTTACAACATTTGCCTGCCTAGTTCTGCTACCTTTATACATAATATTTATGCTAAATTTGTCAGCTTTTATTAAAGAGGACAATGTCTATAAACTTTCATATCTGTTACAACATCTGGGGAAGTGCCTTGAATAAAGTAGATGTTTTGGAAATGAAAGACTGTTTTTGGCCAGCTAGAGGATCAAAAGTATGATCTGGTTAGTTGGACACCAAGGATCTGATTTTATATAGTAGGTTCAGTATTTGCTTTACTGGATTCTTTTCTATATTCCTGATTTCTTGAGGTAGTTAGTAGAGGAAGACCCTAAGGTTTTTGGAGGTTTTTTGGGAGGGAGCCAAGAAGGAACATGCATCTGTCTTCCTTTCACTCCAGATGAATCGGACAAAGGGTGATGAGGAAGAGTATTGGAACAGCTCCAAGTTCAAGGCTTTTACCTTTGATGATGAAGATGATGAGCTCTCACAGGTATGTTCCACAGACGGTTGCTAAAAGTCACATTCTCCTTCATGGTAACACTCTAAAATCTCCTTCCCTTCCCTTCCTTCCCTTATCTCCTGGGTAACCTGGCTTTTGACCATGTCTTCATTAGACTCAGAAATGTTTGGGGTTAGATCTTAAGAAAAATCTTTGTGTTAGTGAGCTTTCCATAGCTATGATGAAATACTCACATAATCAACTTTTAAACAGAAAAGGTTATTTTCACTCACAATTTAGAAGTTCCAGATCATGACCTGGTGATTGCATTGCTTTGGTTCTGTGGGAGGGAGCACACCATCGTCCAAGCACATGGTGGAGCAAGAGTTCCTCATCTCATGGTCAGGAAGCAGGGAGAGGAATAGAAGAGGTGGGGTCCCACAGTTTCCTTCAGGGACATGCCTTCAATAATGAAAGGACCTCCCAAGGTGTCACATTACTCAAAAGTTCCACTGTGTTAACGAGGGGACCAAGCCTTTAATGCATAGGCCTTTGGGAGACATTCAGGATCCAAACTATAAAAACCTTCAGATAGAAAAGCACTTGGAACCCTATGAGAAAAGAGGGAGAAAGGTTGTAAAAACTGATTCTCTACCTTTCTTACTTTACCTTCTTAACATGATTCATTCCTTTCAGTTTCTTTTAGGAACCTCAAGTCTTATTTCATGTGATATAATTTATTATTGTTGCTATTATTATTATTATTGAAATTGTATCCCGTGTTGGTCTTACACATCTGAGGTCAATCAGTCCTCCTGCCTCAGCCTCACAAGGAACTGGCACTGTCAGCATTCACCTCTGTGCCCAACTAATTTATTTTTGAAAGACAACCTAGATTGAAGATTCATCCTTAATTGTGTCTATGTTTTTGTGGGTACTGGGAATCAAACTTAGGAATTGGGAATCAAACTTAGGACCTTGCACTTGCGGGACAGGTGCTGCACTGTTGAGCTATATCCGCTGCCCAATTGTATTTTATAAATGAGGAAACCAGCCGGGCATGGTGGTGCAGGCCTGTAATCCCGGCACTCGGGAGTCTGAGGCAGGAGGATCGTCGCAAGTTCAAGACCAGCCTGGGCTGCAAAGTGAGCTCACGGTCAGCCTGCACTGCATAGCTAGACCCTGTCTCAAAAAGACAAACAAAAACAGAAATATAAATGAGGAAACCAAATCATTTTTGGAAGGTGAATAAATTCAGTCAGATTTTCACATCAAGTCATTTCTGGGAATGTAATTAGAATTCGAAAGTAGCTCTGATTCCTTCTAAGTCTTTTGCCAATGTACTGCAGTGTTGGCTGAAATACAAATTGTTTTCTTGGAAAATATGTGGTAGGCTTGGTTTTCGGTTTTAGAGGATGAAACTTTGGCCACCTTGAAGTCTCAGCTGCTCACTTTTTGGTTATGAAAAGAGGTGGGAAATGTTGGTTGCTGGAGTACCCTGCCTTATGTTCCTCTACAGTTAAAGGAATCCAAGCGGGCAGTGAATAGCCTTCGAGACTTTGTGGATGACGATGATGATGATGAACTGGAGCGAGTCAGCTGGAGTGGCGAACCTGTGGGAAGTAAGTAGAAAAGGCCCTGTGGGGGGATAGAAATTCAAGGTTCTTGTTACTAACGAAAGCTCCCTTGTTTGTGGCAATCTTTAAAGGGTATGAGGTTAGACTGTTATCAGATGAGCATACATCTGGAACTTTAACCCTAGAAGAAGATACTTGGGGGCCGGGGATATAGCTCAGTGGCATATAAGCACCTGCCTGGTAAGCACAAGGTCCTGAGTTCAATACCCGGTACCAAAAAAAAAAAAAAGAAAATATAGCAGTAATTTCCATATGGCTACCTATGTCTCTTGTCCTAGGGCAGATAATTAGCTGGCTATTTAAGACTCATGGGGGTGCTTGTTAAAATTACAGATTCCTAGGTTTTACCCCAGAGGGTTATTCAGCACATCTTTCTTTGTTGTTGTTAGGGACTGAACCCGGTGTCTTGTATTTGCTAAGCTTGTGCTCTATGACTGAGTTGTACTGAAGACATAACTTTTAATAAGTGTGGTTTGTGATTCTAAAAGGTAGTCATGTTTGGAACTGTTGATTTTTCGTTTTCTTTTCTTTTCTTTTTTTTTTTTTGAGACAGGGTTTTGCTGTGTAGTTCAGGCTGGCCTGGAACTCACAGTGATCCTCTTGCCTCAGCCAACCAAGTGCTGGGATTACAGGCATGCGCCACCACACCTGCTTTGGAACTGTTGGTTTAAATAGTTATAACTGGTTGGCAGAACTAATTTCCGTAGCCATCATCCCTTACTACTTAGTCCATATGGTATGTAGTGCTATTTAACACCTTCGCAGGGTCCATCTGATTTTTAGGAAATATTTTTAATTTAAAAATTCCTAAAAAATGGGATATGCTGTAACATGATTTATAAATCAGAAAGGTATTACAGTATACCTTTGAGAAAGTATTCCATTGAAGTTTCCCATTCACACTGATGAATCTTCTCAGTTCTCAGTCCCTGCCTCCCAAAAGGTAATCACTGTTGTTGGCATATTTTATAACCATAAAGATCCTTTTTGCATTTGGAAATGCTTATAAGAATATTTATTTTTATATCTGTATATATGAGCAGAAGCACACTATACCTTGCTGTTTTCCATCTTTTGTACTTTTTTTTTTTTTTTTTGGTACCGGGAATCAAACTCAGGACCTTACGCTTGCTAGGCAAGTGCTTGTGCCACTGAGCTATATCCCCGTTGTTTTCATGTGTTAACATAGTTTAGAGATCTTTCAGTATCAGTATATAAAGAACTTTCTCATTCTCCTTTAACTACTTGTATAGAATTACATTGTATGGATTACTGTACATTATCAAGCAGACCACTGTTGATGAACTTGAGATTTTTTTCAACCATTTTGTATCAGTGATCTTATCAATGATCTTGTGTTCTGACTATATATGTGCATGTGAAAGGTCAATTCTTAGAATGAAATTGCTGGCATAGGATGTTTGCATTGATATTGGATAGATACTGCCACATTTCCCACCATAGAAGTTGTATGAATTTGTACTCCCACCAGTAGCATGGGAGGGCTCCTGTTTCCCCACAGCCTCTCTACTGTAGGGTACTATCAAGGTTTTGGGTCTTTGTCCCTGTTACAGAGGACCAGTGATATCCCATTGTATTTTCTTTTATTTTTTAGTGCTGGGGATTGAATCCAGGGCCTAGAACATTATAGGCAAGCATTCTACCACTGAGCTATGTGCTTCATTTACTGTACTTGTGGTTTGTAATACTGTTCCTAAGAATGAAGTGTAGCATCTTTTCATATATTAAAAAACCATTTTGAATTTTCTTTTCTGTGGTCCATTTATTCATATCCTTTGCCTATTTTCCTGGTGATTAGTATTTTTGTTTGATTTGTTGTTTTTTGCAGTACTGAGTATAAGAATTGGACCCTGGACCTCACACCTGTTAGATGAACATTCTCCCACAGGGCTACCAAAGTCTATATCCTCAGCCCTTCTGAAAATTTTTAGTTTGAGTTAGGGTCTCACTGAGTTGGCCAGGGTGACCTCAAACTTTCGATCCTCTTGCCTCAGCCTTCTGAGTAGCTAGTATTACAGGTATTACTAGCTACTGATCCTCTTGCCTCAGCCTTCTGAGTAGCTAGTATTACAGCCACATGCCCACCTGATTAGTTTATTTGCATCTTCTTTCCCTCATCCCATCTTGGCCAAGGGACCAAGCCCTCTGGTAAAAGCCTATAGAGTTTGTTGGATGTTGGATATAAGGATTTATTTGGGTAAGACTTAATGATTTAGTTCTAACTGTCTTGCAGGTATCTCATGGTCCATCAAAGAGACTGCTGGTCATAGTGGGTCAACCCATGAAGGACGCGAACAGCTAAAGAGCCGAAATAGTTTCTCCTCCTATGCACAACTACCCAAACCTTCTTCTACCTACTCCCTGAGCAGCTTCTTTAGAGGTTAGAAAGTGATGATTAAAGGGATAGCGAAGTCTTTTTCTTTTTCAGAAAAATTCTCTGGCTATAATTTACATTTACTCCATGAGAAAAAGATTAAATTATTAAAGGGTAATAAGTTATCATTAAAGCTGGCAGCTGAGTTGTAGGAGTTAGAGAAATGAGAGAAATTTACAAACATTGGACTGGATTTGTAGAACATGATGAAGAAAATTGGCATTAACCCAATGACAAGAGACTGAAGAAATTTGCCTAGTTCAAAATTCCTGCTTGCCCATTATGCAATGCTGTTGAGAATCCTTGTGTTTTGCAGGTGGGAATTGAAAATGGCATGGCCACTGTAGAAGATAGTATAATAGTTCCTCAAAAAAATTAAACATAAAATTGCAATGTAATTTAGAAGTTTTACTTCTAAGTATATACTAAGAAGAATTGAAGGCAAGGACTTGAATGAGTATTTGTAAACTGGCATTCATTATTATTATTCACAATAGCCAAAAGATGGAAACAGTCCATATGTTCATTGAGGGATGTACAGATAGCCAATGTATGGTGTACATGTACAGTAGACTATTATTCAGCCTTACAAAGTCATGAAATTCTGATAACATGCTGCAAGATGGATAAAGCTTGAAGAGATTATGCTGAATAAGAGAGATACAAAAGGATAAATATTATTCATGTAGTATTCATAGAGACTGAAAGTAGAAGGGTGGTGGGTGAGAGGGATGGAGAGTTACTTCTTAAGGACACAGAGTCTCATTTTTCGATGATGAAAACGTTTTGGGTTTGGACAGTGGTAATGGCTGTACAACAGTGTGAATGTACTTAATGCTACTAAATTACACTCTTAAAAATGGTTAAAATGGCCAGTCGTGGTGGTGCATGCCCATAATCTCAGCTGCTTGGGAACCTGAGGCAGGAGAATCCAAGTTTGAGGTCAGCCTGGGCAACTTAGTGACACACTGTCTCAAAATAAAAATAAAAAGGGCTAGAGACTCTGTGTTGAGTCATTAGTACTGTCACAAAAAAAAAAAGAAAGGAAAATTAAAGTGGTAAATTTTATTGTTATATATTTTTTCCGTAATTTATCCACCCCTGCTTTGAGACAAGGTCTCACCATGCAGTTAAGGCCGGCCTTAAATTCACTGTGTAGCCCAGGCTGGCCTTGAACTTGAAGCAATCATCTTGCATCAGTCTCCCGAGTGCTGAGATTACAGGTATGCACCACTATACCTGGCTGTCCCCCCACTGCCTTTTAATAGCACCTCCAATTTCTGAGGTCAAGTAAAACCTTTTACAAGCCTCAAGTTTGTTCCTTTATTATGTAATAAAATTCTATGTACTATATCCTTAACCAAGAACAGACAACGCTGACTTGAGCTCTGTTGACTTCTTTCTTGTGTTCTTTACTCTTAGGTAGAACTAGACCTGGAAGTTTCCAGTCTCTTTCTGATGGTAAGCATGGGGCTCTTTTTCTTGATTGCCGAGGGAGATGTTGCTGAACTGGGGTACAGTCTGGGGAATGAGCATAGGTAGTAATCAAAATAGATGAACTTTATTCTGAATTTACCATAATTAATAGAGAAATTTTCTGATGATAAGTAAGGAAGTAAAGATCATTCAGGGTACAGCAAGAGGGGACTTCTTTTAAGGAAGAATTGAGATCTACCTGGGCATGGTGGCACATGCCTGTAATCCCAGCACTTAGGCTGAGGCAGGAGAATTGCTGTGAGTTTGAGGCCAACCTGAACTACATAGTGAAACCCTATCTCAAAAAGACAAAATAAAAAAAATAAAAAGAACTGAAATTTGCTTTTGGCCATAAGATATCTTGGGAGGCTACAAGTCTAAAAATGTGTGTGAGAAGGAGGCAGTAGAAGAAATAAATTACATGAAACAGGACTCATGGCACCTTTCTGAACCAGCTATCTGTTCTTTTTCAGCTTTGTCTGACACACCTGCTAAAAGCTATGCTCCAGAGCTGGGGAGGCCCAAGGGGGAGTATAGAGTAAGTTATATCTTAATATTGATGTGCCACTCAGGTCCCTGGGCATATGTTTGACTTAATTTTTGAAACTCTTTGTACAGATACTACAGTCATTTTGTTGCTTAATGATGTGGACATACATTGTGCAAAATGTAACATTAGAGAGTTTCATCATATGTGAACATCATTGAGTATACTTTCCCAAACCCAAATGGTATAGCTTATTATATGCCTAGTCTATATGGTATAGGATATTGCTGTAAACCTGAATGTACTGAAGGCTGCGGGCTGTTGTAACATGATAGTACTTTTGTATCTAAACATATCTAAATGTAGAAAAGGTATGGTAATATGAAGCAATAGGAATTTTCAGCTCCATTGTAATCGTACTGTTGTATGTGTGGTCCATCATTCACCAAAATGTCAACATGCAGCACGTAACTGTAAGAGATTCCTCTTTTAATGACCCACCCATTTGAACTTACTGTTTGGACTTACAACCGAGGCATGCTGTTCAGACTTACAACCTGCTGCTTGGACTTACAGTCCACATTCAGACTTACCAAGCTGGAACATGAGCAACAGTGAAGCTTTATGGTGGCTTCTACAGTAAAGTACTATAATTTTTGTCGATTGTACTGTACAGTAAAGTACTATAGTTACATATTCTGTAATACATAACAGTGCATGTAAGACCCAAATAAAAGGAGTCATCAAGTTGGAGTTATTTTTGACAATTTGTTTTGAAATTGTAATGTACATACTGTACACAATTCCTCATTTACTGACCAACTCATTTAACAACCTAGTGGCAGGACTGGAACTTGGTTGTTAAGTGAAAAACGTCTATATTTTAAATGTGCAGGTGTCTCCCCAACCCACCTCCACACTATGGTACTGGTAATTAAATCCAGGGGCCTCGCTCTTGTTAGACCACTGAGCTCTTTATTCTTATTTTATTTTGGGATGTGGTCTTATTAAGTTACCCAGGCTGCGCTGGAACTTGTGATCCTTCTTTGCCTTAGCCTCCTGGGCACCTAAGATGACAGACATGTGCCACTACAACTGGCTTAACGCCCTTTTGTAGATAAGAAGACTGGGGTAATTAATGCTTACTTGGGGTCTCACAGCCAGGAAAGTGTGATACATGGACTCAAAAATCTTTTCTGACTCAGTCCTACCATATTTTTCTGACGTATTACCCTATCTCTTGAAGGCTGTACTTTGAAACTCAATGAGCCTCACAGCAGTCTGGATGCTTGGCTGAAATTCAGTAACTTTTACAATAGTTAGATGCTTGGTAGAATGTATATTCCCATGAAGCATATAAAAAATACAAAATAATTCATAGGGAAGAAACTGTATTTTAAGATCAAACAAGGAATATGTTTCATATATTACTGTCTGTCTCTGTTTTGACCAAAGGTATTAATCATTAGGATTCAAAGTGTGACTAATTGCATCTAGGGGTTGAAATTCTGAACCAGTAAGCATAGGATTACTGGTTAGTCATTTGGGTCATCCCTCTTTGATCCATCTCTTCCTGCTCGTATTGTCTCTCCTGTAATTCCTTAAAAAACTCAAAATAAGACAATTTCAGTTCATTTTTCTCATCAGTTGCCTTGACAAAATGTATCCCCCTTGGCGACTGAGGCTGAGTTTGAGGTGATCTGATCCTTTAACTTCCTAGGATTCATATATTGCTGCTATTCTAGGATTACAGCAATGACTGGAGCCCCAGTGATACAGTGCGACGCCTCCGAAAAGGCAAGGTAAGGCCCCTGTAGAGAGAATTCCTGTAGGATGCACTGGTAAGCTGCATTTGCTAAATTGGAACTACTAAACAAGGAAGTTTTTCAAGAAGAAAATGAATATGCTCAGATTGAAAGTTACGTGCAGAATTTTTTACTTGCCAGGCTTTAAGTGTTTCCTTGATTGTTTGCAGGGAAAATAGTGATGGGTGAGAGGAAAAAGTACATTTAATTAAAAGTGAGCATAATCTTTTAAGTTTAGTTCTGTGATTCATTGTGAGTTAATTTTTGTATGTCTTGTGAGATAAGGTTGAGGTTCATTGTCTTTTTTGCATGTAGATCCCAGTTTTTTTCCAGCACTATTTGTAGAAAAGACCATCCTTTCCTCATTGAATCATTGTGGTACCTCTCTTGCAACTCAGTTGATGATGTATGTGTTGAGCTCTTTCTGGACTCTTTATTCTAGTTTATTGACTTATTGTCCTTATGCCAGTGCTATTTGGTGATTGTAGCTTTGTAGATGTCTTGATGTCAGATAACTTCAACTCTTTTGAAACTTTCAACTTTCTGTTTTGTTCTTCACTTGCAAAATTTTTTTGGCTGTTCTGGATCTTCTTTTTATATAGATTGAAATATCAGCTTGACAATGTCAATAAAAGAACAGCTGGGACTTTGTTCTTTGTTTTTTTTTTTTTTTACAGTGCTGGGGATTGAACCCAAGGCCTTGTGCACACTAGGCAAGCACTCTACCACTGAACTATATCCCAGTCCTGGAATTTTATTGAATCTATAAATTACTTTTAGGAGAATTAACATCGTAAATAATTAACGGATCAAAATAGATCATAGACCTAGATGTAAATAAGTGCTAAATATGTAAAATTTCTAGAAGAAAATATAGGTGAAAATTTTTGTGAGCTTGGGTTAGGCAAAAATTTATTCCCTAAGACACAAAGAACATTAATAATAAAAGAAAAAATTATGGTGAAGTGGACTTCATCAACATTAAAAACTTTTGTTTTTTGAAAACATTGTTAAAAACATGAAAAAACTTAGCAGCCTGGTGTGGTCATGCGTGCTTGTAATCCCAGCACTCAAACCAAAACCCAAAATAGACCAAAAAAAACAAGGTTGGGAGAAAATATTTGTAAAATTCATATATTATAAAGGACCTATACTCAGAATATATTTTTAAAAAGTCTTACAACTTAGTGATAAAAAGATAGACAAACCAATAAAAAAAATTGGCACACGATTTGACCAGATACATCACAGAGGACATTCAATTGGTCAGTAGCACTTGAATATATGATTAACATTATAGTTACCAAAAAAAGGTAAATTAAAACCATGAGATATCAGTAAACTGCCATTAGAATGGCTAAATTTAAAAAGATTTTTCAGATCAGGTGTTGGGAGGATGTAGAGAAACTAGACAACTAGACTCACATATAACTGACAGGAATGTAAAATCATAAAATTACTTTAGAGAATAATCTGTTCTTATAAAGTGAAATAGACCCTCTCTGTATGCCCAGCACTTCTACTTCTAGACACTTAGAGTCCAACTGTATTAAAACATATGGCCATATATTGACTTGTACTAAATGTTCATAGCAGCTTTTTTTTCACAAAGGCTTCCAAATGGAAACCACTGAAATGTCCTCAGCAGCTAAATGGATAAACAACTGATATATCCATATAATAGAAAACAACTTGGGGCTGGGGATTTAGCTCAGCGGCACAGTGCCTGCCTGGCAAGCACGAGGTCGTGAGTTCAATTCCCGGTACCGGAAAAAAAAAAATAAAACAAAACAAAAAAAAAAAAAAAAAACCCAAACAAAGAAAACAACTTGACAATAAATAGGAGTGAACTAGAACTAACACAACACAGTTTCATGTCAGATTGAAAGAAAGAAGCCAGTTACCGAAGAGTACATATTATATGATTTTGTTTTTATGAAGTTCTAGGAAAGGCAAAACTGTAGTGACTGAGAACAGATGAGCACTTGCCAGAGGACAGGGAAGAAGGGAGGTCATTAATGTCAAAGTGGACAAAGGACCTTTAGGGGATGATGAAAATGTTCTGTATTTTTGTCATGGTAATGGTTACATTGGATGTTTAGACTTTTCAAACTATACAGTTAAACAGAGTGGGCTTTATTATATGTAAATTGCATCTTATTTTTTAAAAACTGAGTAATCTTTGTTGACTTTTTCAAGACTTTAGGACCTTATTAGCATCTTGTAGGGCAGTGGTGGCGAATCTATGGCATGTGTACCACAGCTGGCTATTGTTACCACTGAAAGGTCTAAAAGGTTTACCATCACTATTATAGGGCGTCAGACTGAACTAGAGAGCATGTGGTGGGAACCTACAGTCTCACAGAGTCCTAGGGAGCATAGTGTAAATACAAAGAAGCTCTCTTGGGGGACATTTTCTTTCACTGTTGCTCATCCCTTACTATCTGGTGACATAGGAATGTAGGAAACTTTCTTTTGTCTTCTTCCTTTTACACTAATTGTGTTCATACTCTGCTAGGTCTGCTCACTGGAAAGATTCCGCTCCTTACAGGACAAGCTACAACTCCTAGAAGAGGCAGAAAGCATGCATGATGGAAATGTCATTACTGCAGTGAGTTGTAGGGTTTTGTTTTTACTGTTATTTTGTTGCTATTACTTTTCTTACTGTTTTTGTTTTTGAGATAGGCCCTCACTATGTAGCCCAGACTGGTCTTCAATTTGTGATCCTTCTGCCTCAGCTTCCCAAGTGCTGGGATTATAAGCCCCTTGCTCTTGTCATTTCTTTAATTGTTGTTGAAACACAAGTTTCTAAAAATCTGATCAAATAGACTTTACTGTCTTGGGTTAAATGTCAAGTAATGATCCTGGATTTCTCTGTGAGCTGAGGATTCTCCAGGAGTCCGTGGTCTAAGGCCTGCATCGTACATGGAAGTCTTGCTAGTAACCAAGAGTAGAACATTGGCCCAGTCTGTGTTATACAAAGTAATCTGTGGGAGGAGAGATGTGAGAGTAGTCTCCCAGGGGGCAGTATATCTCAGCCTATATGGGCATGGGTATTATGTGGACATCACCTTTCCTTCTATCCCACAGACAGATCTGTTGTGCTTACCTGAAAAGATTCTTAACAAGTTGTTGCCTCTTTGCTAGACAGTCAAACGTTTTTGTGTTTGAAAGGTTGCGTATTCTGTGTTGCATGTTCTTTGTTCTCTTTTCCTCTAGGTTCTAATCTTTCTGAAGAGGACGCTGAGCAAAGGTGAGGATGGTTTAAAGGAAATCTCCACTCAGCAAGGTATCTTTGAGGAAGGAATATGTGGCTTTCATACCAGAACTCACCAATGTCAGTCCATGTCAGAGACAGCTGAGGTGGCCTGGGACTTGGGAGCACACATTATATAACTGAGGGCATCCTCAGAGTGATGACTACATTAGTCCAAAGCCCTCTCTGTTTATTAGACAGATGGCTAGTTTGCTTGAGAAAGTAAGAATCTAATGCTAAATGCCTACTTTTGGGTTGATAAGAATTGAAAAGCTGACTCAGTGGTTATGATTTACCCTGGACAATAGAGGCTACTGATGGTGAATTGAAACATAGGGGTTAAACTATTCTTAGCTTTTGCTAAGCTTTGAGGAGAAGATGTTTGGAACATGTGAATAGGGAGGCCAATTTCAGACTTAAGTAAAAGCGTACTCTTTTCTCTCCCTCATTCCTTCTTCTTGCCTGCCAGAGATCCTCTTCCGAGAGCTGGAGGTGCGACAGGTTGCCCTCAGACATCTCATTCACTTCCTTAAGGAAATAGGGGATCAGAAGCTGCTTATAGACCTCTTCAGGTAAGACCTGATCCTCTTGTCTATCAAATTTATTAAGTACTTTTTCAAAGCATTCTGGGGGATACAAAGAAATAGAAGATACTGCCCTTTTCCTAGAAACATTTGGAAGGCAAGACATTAAATGTGAGAAGGTAGCTAACAGTACTATAGTCTGTGATAAGGTAACAGTACAGGAGGATGGCTAAAAGCTAGGTTCTAGAGTCAGAGATCGATACCTCTGTCTGAGGTCTGTGGCTCAAAGTAACTCTAGTTACCTAGTGATTCCAGAACAGTGATGAGCTGCCCTAAAGACTAAGAAGGGAAAGCAGGTTATTGATTAGGGTTAAGATTATGGATTGGTAGCCAGGAATTTGCAAAAGTATACCTGCTCATGGATTTAGGCTGTTCTCTCCCTCCCCCTCCCCCTCCCCCTCCCCCCCATCAATAAGGATGTATGAAAAAAAAAAATTAAAAAAAAATATAAGGACATATGAAGCATCATCTCTGTGCCAAAGCAGTGATGTTAATTTTGTTGTTATATTTAGAGTCAGGAGGAATCAAAGACAAAAGTTCCTGGGCTTTAAGGTCTTACCAAATATGTTATAAAAATAAAGAGTAATACAAATACCTGTTTTCAGGAGTATTTTGACAGAGAAGAGTGCTTTACTCATATCAAAAACATAAATAAACACGGTCACTGTGGACTGGAGTAGGTTTTCTTTAAGCTTTCAGTGCCCTTCAATGCCTTCTTGTGGTTACTTGTTTTTCAGCTAGAAAGAACAGAGGAACACTGAAATGTGAATGACCAGGTATTTTGAAAACATTGCTAGTGGTAGAAAATTTAAGAGAAAGGCTTATCTCACAAAGTGAGGGAAACAAGTTTGAATTGTGTTTCTTCTAGACATTCACCGATTTTGAGAGGTTATAATGCCACACATCAATAGATAAAAATGCCCTGCTCCCTTCTGCTTCTTCCCAGGTTCCTAGACAGAACAGAAGAGCTTGCGGTAAGTGTGGCCTTTGTTTCAGTTGGGAACCTATGTAATAGACATGAAGCCAAAACCCAGCCTCCACCATCCTAGACTGATTGAACTGTTTCCTTTGGCACTGATTATATCCAGAGGACAGAGGGATCTAGGAAGCCTGAAAACTTAACACAAATGGTGTACGGTTTCTTTTAATGTGTTCTTTTGCTTGGGCTTATCAATAAAAAAAATTAATTAATGAAAACTGGAGTGATCAGTTTGTAATTTCTTTTTTTAGTCGTTTTCAAGTCCTGGTTTGCTAGGGGTTCTTGGGTTTTGGCTTCTAACAGTAAAGAAAATGTTAACAGCTGAGAGGATAAGAAACCAGATATAGGTCATGAGTAAAGGTAGATCAGAGGCTGGTACACTCAATATACATTTTGACTGAAAGCTCAGTGGCCAAGTATGAAAATTGATTTTTGGCAGATTTTCACAATCAGAATGAACTGGAATACAAGCATGAATATGAAATTCCACCAACTTAATGGAATTATTAAAAATTTAGTGAATCATTTTTTAAAGTTTGACATTGCAATGCAGAAATAAGAATTTCTGGGGCAATCCACTCTCTGGGCCCCCTTCTATTTCTTAGAAACTTTTCTTCCATTCAATAAATTCTTCCTACCCTTAACCTCCAAAAAAAAAGAAGAATTTCTCAGCACTGTTAATGGAAGGATTTTCCTTTATTATCATACCACACATTTGTGATGATACCAGGATACACATTCAGCTGGCAAATTTAATAATATTGTTAGCTTTTTTGTACAACAAAATATAAAGAAAATGTTTTTCAGTAACATAGTTTCTAAAAGGAACTTGAACTTAAAATTCAAATCATAAGAAAGTTTGGGGGCTGGGGATGTAACTCAGCGGCATAAGTGCTTGCCTGGCAAGCCTGAGGTCATGAGTTCGATTCCCGATACCAAAAAAAAGAAACTGTCAGGAAATATAAGCCCAATGCTGATAATCTTTGGGGCTGGGGATTTAGCTCAGCGGCACAGTGCCTGCCTGGCAAGCGCAAGGTCGTGAGTTCGATTCCTAGTACCAGAAAAAAAAACAAAAAAAAAAAAAGAAAGTTTGAAAAATCCTGTATCTTAATCTACTGAAAATGATTGGTCTGTAGTATTCATTTGAAAAATTTGCTGGGCGTGATGGCTCACGCCTGTAATCCCAGCACTTGGGAGTCTGAGACAGGAGGATTGTTGTGAGTTTGAGACCATCTTGGGCTACAAAGTGAGCTTAAAGCCAGTCTGAACTTCATAGCGAGACCTTATCTCAAAAAAAGACAAAAAAAAAATTTATTGTATTTTAGACTCTATAGGTTCAAAACTATGAAGAATTTTCCTTATAGAACATTCTTAAGAGGTTTGTTGTTTTGAAGTTTGGTTATTGAAAATATATGTGGGGGCTGGAGGTACAGCTCAGTGCCACAGTGCTTACCTGACAGATGGGAAGTCAGTTCAATTCCTGGTACCTACCAAAAACAAAACAAACAAAACAAAATACACACATACATACACACAGAGAATGAATGTGTTTTGGGTAGCTTTTTTTATATGAAACAGTTTTTTCTTATACTCATTATGTTTGAATTAAAGGTGCATTTTATATAAATTTAGGGTTTTCCAGTCTTGTAAGGATTAAAAGTGGCAAAGCTGATAGTCTACTTTTAGTTTATTCTAGAATATAAGTGTTTTCCAAGTAGACTTTTTCTTGAAAAACTTGGGTCAAAGTGAGATTAACAAAAAATTAACTATAGTTTTTTTTTTTTTTAATTATTAATACATGTTTGCAGTACATAATGATTACATTCACTGTAGGGAATTGGTACGTGTACATAACACATTTCAGTTCTCTTTTCCCTTTCCCTTAACTATACTTCTTTTCTTTAATATTATAAATGATTGTATACCAGATATTTTACAAACATTAAATTATATCTTTTTTTTTGGTCTTTTTGAGACAGGGTCTCACTATGCAGTTCAGACTGGCCTTGAGCTCACTTTGTAGCCCAGGCTGGCCTTGAACTCTCAACAATCCTCCTGCCTCAGCCTCCCGAGTGCTAGGATTATAGGCGTGTGCCACCACGCCCAGCTAAATTATGTCATTTTTGTAGTCTCTTTCATATTGTCATTTACATTTTAATGTATGTCATTTTGCTCTGAAAGGATATACTTCCAAAAGTCATTTCATTGTCTTAATATTCATATCATGTTTATTTTTGATCAATTAGTTTTATTTTTCACTTGGGAAAGTTTTTAATAATTGTATACAGAATTACAGCTTTGAGAATCATTACTAATTATTGTACCATTTAACTCTTACAATTAACAAATGGACACATACATCAATTTGTTTGTGGTACTGATGAGTGAAGGCTTTGCTTATGTTCAGTAGGCACTTTACCGTGGAGTTGTTTCCCCCGCCCTACATCAGACTTTTTTTTAGAATTTTTTTTTTTTTTGGTACCAGGAATCAAACTCAGGACCTTGCACTTGCCAGGTAGGTGCTTATGCTGCTGAGTTATATCCCAGGCCCTTTTTTTTTAGAATTTTAAAACAGCATATAATGAGATTGTCTGTCAGAGTTGCATGTAGAATCTATAGCATTTGAATATGAATAGTTTAGCTATGAACAGTTTATCAGAATGACATACCCTATTCATATTACTCATATTGTTAATTGTTACTTAACATGATATACTATCATTAGTCATATACATTGTTGAGGATGCCAAAAATATGTTAAAATGAACATTTAGCCTTTTTTTTTTTTTGGTGCCAGGAATCGAACTCACAGCTTCATACTTAGCAGGCAGACACTGTGCTGCTGAACTGTATCTCTGCCTCGCCGCCTTTTTTTTAGACAGGATCTTGCTGTGCAGTTCAAGCTAGGCTGGCCTCAAACTCACAGTGATCCTCCTAGCTCAGTTCTCAAGGGCTAGAATTACAGGTGTGCAGCACTATGCCTGGCACATTTAGCTTTTTGGTTTTTCAAAAGTGAAGGTTTGCCAGGCATTGTGGTGCAAGCATGTAATCCCAGCACTCAGGAAGTTGAAGCCGGGAGGATCACTGTGAATTTGAGGCCAGTTTGAATTACAGTGTGAGACCCTGTCTCAAAAGAAACAAACAAAAAAACAAAATAAAAAGCTAAGGCTGAAGTATTACAGCTATAAGTGGTTAAATACTGAGACTAAAGCCAAACTTCAGGATAAAGGTAGGTACTGTGACTACTGAGTGCTTCTTTACAGATCAACACTGTCCAAGCCAAATTCCTAAGATGATAAAAATAGTCTTTATTTGTGCTACCTGATTTGGTAGTCACTAGTCACTTATAGCTAGTGAGTACTTAAAAAGTGTCTAGTGCAACTAAGGTCCCAAAATTTTAATCTGTTTAAATTTATATTACACAACCAGATGGGGCAAGTGGCTGCCATATTGGACAGAGCAGTTAAAGATAAGCCTTCTAGTGATTTTGAATCACCCCCTCCAAGAATCCCATAACTCTCTACACCCAGAAAGAATCCCCAAGAATAAAGATTTTACGATTTTTAAGCATGAAAAATCCACTTATACAGCTACCTGTCCTCCAAGGAGAAAAAAATGGCTCAAAACTTTTTTCTCTCTTTTGTAGCTATCCCATTATCGAGAGCATTTGAATATTCAGGACCCTGAGAAGCGAAAAGAGTTTCTTAAGACCTGTATTAGGTAAGTATGAGAGAGAAATTGTTTTAAATTTAAATGCCTTTATAGAGGTGGAATGAAGGGAATAAAAGGATAAAATGCATAGGCATGGGAAAGTTAATTAATTATACAGGTATCATTAAAAGTTATCTCATTCAGTGGCTACCAAATACTAGTGCCATGGGGCAGGGGTAGAGCTTAGCAGCATAAGCGCCTGCCCAGCAAGCACAGGGTTCGCAGTTCAATCCCCGGTACCAAAAGCAAAGCAAAGCAAAACAAAACAAATACTAATGCCAGAGTCTTCCCTGGTTGGTGGTAAGCTTAGAAAAATAGATAATCTAGAGAGTTTTTTCCTAAAGCCAAATTTACTTAATTTGTAAGTATCTTTTGTTCTCACATTTTATTACTACTTCTCCCCCTCCTTTTTGTTTTTTTTTTCTGGTACCGGGAATCAAACTCACGACCTTGCGCTTGCTAGGCAGGTACTGTTCCACTGAGCTAAATCCCCAGCCCCGCCCCACTCCTTTTTGGTAGTAATAGTTTTTTATAACCTTATGTAATAAAAAACTGGCAGCTCTTTATGGATCTTACATATTTTTTTGTGTATGTTACTGGTCCTTAAAACTCCAGAGTTCAAAAACCACTGACTTGCAGAATAATTGCAGAATAATAGAAGCCACATAGTACATCAGAAGGCAAAGATTTCAGGTTCCCACTTTTTTTTGGATAATATAATTGAATTTCAGAATTCTTCCTAGAGTGAGTTGAATAGAGAAATAATGGAGGGCCAGGGATGTAGCTCAGTGGCACAAGTGCTTGCCTGGCAAGCATGAGGTCCTGAGTTAGGTCCCTGGTACCAAAAAAAAGAAAGAGGAATAATGGAACACTTTCTAAAGGATAGTACTGTATGAACTGTCTTCTGTCCTTGGCTTTGCCTTCTGATGTACTATGTGACTTTTAAGCAAGACACTGCCCCTCAACTACTTCATGTATAAAAACATAGTTTTATAGAAGGAATCTTTGGCATTTGTGTTGATTTTTGCAGTCTTTGCAGTCTTCAAATCTATCATGATGCTATGTAACTTACTTCTATTATTCTGCAATTAAAAAATGGCAAATGACAAATTAAAGTGTCCTTTCAGTAGAGTTAGGCAGTGATATGAACCACAGAGCTTCACTAGGATGTGGATGATGGGTAGTTGGCAAGGCTCGCTTAGTAGCATTGTGACAGTCATTGAATATCTAACTCTGAAAGTGAGATTATTATTTATGCCACAGCAAAATCACTAATGACTATGTATTTTGTGAACTTTTAGGATCTCTCTTGAATTGGCAAAAATCTTAAACACAAAATCTAGACAGAGGTCTACTTTCTTTTCTGCTTTTCTGTATCTGCCTTTAAGGAATACAGAGAATTGAGGTCAGACTTGTGAAGCACCATGAGTCTCTATGCTTATGGTGATGGTTTGGATACGTTTTCTTTTTACGTAAGAAAGAGATACTAAAAAAGAAAGAAAGAGATACTAACCTTCCAGCCCTCTACCAGTTTGCCATTTTCAGCAGAAGATTCTGCACATATACAAGACCACTACACACTCCTGGAACGGCAGATCATTATTGAGGTTAGATTCCTCATCTCTACAATATTTCCTTCAGTACCCAGGCTCAGTGCCATTCAGCATATAAGAGACTCTGTTCTCTGGACTTACTGGTTGTTTCCTGTTGCAGTCTTTATAAGCCTTTCATTTCCTCCCTCTGCACGATGCCCCCTTTCTCAATTGTCCTTTTGTTTGTTTGTTTGCTTTTTTTTTTTTTTTCCTCTGGTACCGGAAATCGAACTCATGACCTTGCGCTTGCCAGACTGGCGCTGTGCTGCTGAGCTAAATCCCCAGCCCCTCAATTGTTCTTATGTATCCTTTTTTGTCACATTTCTGCTGACCTGGAAGTAGTTCCTCTTCATCTCAAATCTTCTGTGTCATCACTGTGTGTTTAGTCACTTCCTGCAACTTAGTTCCCTTATCATTTTATGTAATTTAACTCCTGGGATGGCCTAGGCAATTTTATCTTTTTCTTTTTTGCTTCATTGGTAGGGTGGGAAACACAACTGCTTTAGTATTAAAAGATTTTTTTTCCTGCTTCTGCTTCATGGACATTGTTTTTTTCCCTCTTGGCTCACCTTACCACAGGCTAATGATCGACATCTAGAGTCAGCAGGACAGACTGAGATCTTCCGAAAGCATCCCCGCAAAGCTTCCATCCTCAATATGCCACTAGTGACAACACTCTTTTACTCCTGCTTCTATCACTATGCGGAAGCTGAGGTATAAGCACAATATGAAAGAAAAATCCCATGAACTTGCATTGCAAGACAACTATAGTTTATATCCAGTACAGTATTTTTATGTACTCTGTTAACAGTGCCTGCATATACTTCTCAGAGACCCACCTGGGAGCTTTCTGGCTCTCAGCAAGGGTGAGCTAAGAGGCAAAAAGAGATTTGTAAGGGTCTGCACATAAGGGTTTTCAGTGGGTTGGTGTGCTGGCATAGCACATTCTGTCCTTGGTGTAGGCTTCCATCACAGTCCCTGTTCAAAGATTCCATAATTTCCAGTGGATTGGCATAGTGTAAACAAGAGCAGTAGATGAGGTTTTCCTTTTTTAAGTTTGGTTTTTGTACATTTTCCCCTTACTTGGATTAGCACAAAACTGAAAAAAGCACCACACATACGAATCCAATTCTTGCTAAACTAGGTTATTGTGATCTTTCATCAGATACTGGAGCTGTTCCTCATAAGTTGATTTCTGGGTTTAAATGGGTACAGAGTGAGAGAAGGTCTGTACTATGGAGAAGAAAATGAGAGGGTTGAGGGAAGTGGGAAAAGTAGAATTGTAATGTGTTATGTACATGTACCAATTTCCTACAGTGAATGTAATCATTATGGACTGAAAACACGTACTAATAAAAAGGGGAAAAATGGGAGGTTGATTGTCTACTAAAGTTCCTCTTCTTTCTTCTTAGGGGACATTCAGCAGTCCCATCAACCTGAAAAAGACATTTAAGGTAGATATACATTGGTCAGTGTTTCATAAAAGTAGTATCAGTAATTACATGGAGAGGATAATTGTTGCTGGAAGCCCTGTGCAGTAGGTTCCTTGCTGTTTAAGGTTAAAGGTAGAATGACTTTGTGGGGCATGAGAGCAGCTTTTAACTAATTGGTATGCAGCAGTGCTGGTGCTTGGGAGGTAAGGGGTTCTTTTTTTTTTCCATCTTTTTCAGACAGGGTCTCACTATGCAGTTCAGGCTGGCCTTGAACTTACTTTGTAGCCCTGGCTGTTCTCAAACTTGCAACAGTCCTTCTGCATCAGCCTCCTGATTGCTGGAATTACAGGCTTGTGCCACCATGCCTGGCTAGGGGTTCTTGATGACCTGTGATTTTAAGTGACAGAATCAGTCAGTCAATCAGGGTATACTTATCTTCTCTAACACCTCTATCAATATATTGTTTACTTTCCCTTAATTTTTTCTGATCTCTGCTTTCTAGATCCCAGACAAACAGTATGTGCTGACAGCCCTGGCTGCTCGTGCCAAGCTTCGAGCCTGGCATGATGTTGATGCCCTCTTCACTACAAAGGTGGGTGCTCCAAAACTGTTCTGTGTGCTGTTGAGGTCTTAGGGGAAAGAAGGGTCATATCATTTTATAAATTATAGTTACTAATTTAACATTTTTCCTCCCAGTGTTTTACTTCCCAAAATCTAAACCCCATCGAAAACTTGGAAGCATAGTGTAATGCCCAAGGCTTTTTACCCATTTCCCTAATTTATTAACATTTTTGCTGTATTAGCTACCTTTCTCCTTTTTGTACATACATTTTAAAAAGCTATTTGAAAGTAAATTGCAGATATCATGATACTTCCTCAAAAAAAAATTATCTTCTACATAAACATGGTCTTATCATCGCTCTCAAGAAATTTAACATTAAGATAATAGCATATATATTTCTATATGTTATATATATAGCTCATTCTATGTCAGGCTTGTTTACCTAGCATAATATCCTCTAGGTTCATTCATGCTGTCACAATAGCAAGATCTTCTTAGGCTAAATACTATGTCTATATTAATACATATATACTGTACACCATACTTTCTTTATCCATTCATTTAGTGATAAACATTTAATCTCTTTTTCATATCTTAGCTATTATAGCTAATACCACAATGGATATGGAAATGCAGATTATGAGGTAGTGATTTTTGGCATATACCCAGAAGAGGATTGGATACTGGGTAATAATAGTAGTTCTATTTTTAATTTCTTTAGGAACCTTCATATTCTTTTCCATAGTGACCCCACCAATCTATATCCCCACCAACACTGTGTAACAGTTCCCTTTTCTTTATACCCTCACCAAAATTTACCACTTCCTTTTTTTTTTTCCTTATCTAGTACTGAGGATTGAACCTAGGGCCTTGTGTATGTTAGGCAAGCATTCATTACCATACTGAGCAATATGCCCAGCCCTGTTTTTACTTTACTTTGTGATAGTGTTGCTAGGTTACCCAAGCTGGCCTTGAACTTGTGATCTTCCTGCCTCTGCCTTCTGCATAGCTAAGATTATAGGCATGTGCCCCTGCACTCGTCTATTGCTTGTCTTTTTTATAATAGCCATTCTAACAGATACAAACTGATATTTCATAGTGTTTTGATTTACATTTCCCTAAAGATTAGAGCTGAGTATCTTTTTATATACTGTTGTCCATTTTTATGGCTTTTAATTTTCAGTTTTTTATTAGTACATGTTTGTATTACATAATGATTACATTTGTCATGCAGAATTTATACATGTACATAATACATCTTAATTCTTTTTTATCCCCTTCCCCTCCCTGCTCCCTCTAACTCTTGTTTCCCTTCCCATTTGAAAACGTTCTAATTCCACTCATTTTTTTTTTAATCCCTTTCCTTTCCTACCCTTCTCCCTCCCTCCATCTTTTGGTCCCCTTTCCATCTGAAAAAGATCTCCCTATTTCCTATTATTTTACTCTTTATTTATATTTTGCATTTTTCATACCAATATAAGAGAAACCATGCAGTATTTATACTTATGTGTCTGTTTTATTTCACTTAACATTTCTTTGGAGAAATGCCCATTCAGGTCCTTTGTCCACTTACTAGGTTGCTTTTCTTTTTCTTTTTTTTTGGTACTGGGAATCGAACTCATGACCTCAGGCTTTCCAGGCAAGCGCTTATGCCGCTGAGCTGCATCCCCGGCCTACATTGTTCTTCTGTAGCTGTTGAATTGTGTCAGTTCTCAGATACATTTTTTGCAAATATTTTCTCCAAATTCATAGATTGCCTTTTAATTTTGCTTTTAAAAGACTACTGCTAAATCTAATGTCAAAGTCCTTTTCTATGTTTCTTTATAAGAGTTTTATGGTTTTAGGTTTTATATTTATGTCTTTTGTCTATTTTGAGTTTTGTGTATGGCAAGAGTCCAGTTTCATTCTTTTACATGTGGAAATCCAGTTTTTGTAGTACTATTTTTTTGTTTCATTTTGTTATGTTTTAATTTTTTGACACAGGGTTTCACTATGCAGTTCAGGCTGACCACGAACTCACAGCAGTCCTCCTGCCTCAGCCTCCTGAGTGCTGGAATTATAGGCATGCACCACCATACTTTGCTCCTAGCACTGTTTTTTGAAGACACTACCCTTCTTGATGCTCTTGTTGGAACTGAGTTGACCGTGTATACTTAGGTTTATTTTTTTTTTCTGTTCCACTAATCTGTGTGTTTTTAAAGTCAGGGGCATGCTATTTTGATTATTGTAGCTTGGTAATGTGATTTGAAATCAGGACATACGATACCTCTAACTTTGTTTTTCTTTCTCAGGATTTTGTTGGCTCTTTGGGGTCTTTTGTGATTCCATAAATATGTTTTAAATATCAATTTTTTTACAGTATGGGTTTGAGAATTTGTTTTTCCTCGTTAATTAATTAATTGCATAACTACAAAAGCTAAACATATCTATATCAAAATCAAACATGGTTATATGTAGTAAGAAGGCTGGGGCTGTAGCATAGTGGTAAAGTGCTTGCCTAGCATGCATAAGGCCCTGAGTTCAATCCTCAGTACCACACACACACACAAAAGTTGGTTTTTTATGTCTGTTTTTTAATTTTTTAATTTTTGGGGTTTTTTGAGACAGTTTCACTATGTAGTTGAGGCTGACCTTAACTGACTATGTAGCCTAGGCTGGCCTCAACTTGCAGCAATACTCCTGTCTCTGCCTCCCGAGTGCTGGGATTATAGGCATGTACCACCAGACCTAGCAAAATGTTTTTTTAAACAAAGTTTCTCTTTCATTGTCTGTCTGCCTGTAGCTCACTGCCTTCTTCAAGGCAAACACTATTAAAAAGTCTAATCAGGGAAAAAAAAAGCCTGATCAATAGCTTTCCAGACCTTTCTTCATGAATTTACAAGTGAACATATATGTCGGTAAATTCTAACTTCTGTATATTTTGCAGAAGTTAGGGTTTGTCTACACAGCTAAATTTATAGAAGTACTACTTCATTTAGTAGTGTTTCACACTTTTTTCTGCATTTGTGTTGATAGCTCTATGAACCTTGTTTTATGCCTTTGACTCTTTCTACTCTCTAAAATACGTTGGCTTTTTTGAAAACTTCATCTCTCACCATTTCTGTATTATTCCCCCACCCCACAGGTCTATATACCTTTCTACCATGTTATTCTGGTCTGACCACAGAGAGACTAGCTCAGAATGTGTTGACTGTGTCTGACCTACATATTGTTCTCCCATCTTCATTTTTCAGAACTGGTTGGGTTACACCAAGAAGAGAGCACCCATTGGCTTCCATCGAGTTGTGGAAATTTTGCACAAAAACAGTGCTCCTGTCCAGGTAATAGCTCCTAAAGAGAGATGGGTACAGGATACCTGTAGGTGACCTAACTTCTACCCCATTATTGCTCGACAATAGAAACTTGACGTGTTCTGGTTTTCCCTTAATGGCAGCGCAATGTTTGCTGCATTGGCCCTTGAGATAGAAAAGCCCAGAGAGGAATGTTCTCTTCCCTTTAGAATTTTTAATCCCAGACTGTGTCCTCTGAGGAGTATCTGCTATGTTTAGCCATGTGGAAAACCGATGTACTGTTTAAATGATCCAAGAAGAGAACTTGCTAAGAAAGGACATCAAGGAAAAAAAAAAAAAGGACATCAAGGAAAAATGGGTACAGCATGGGATCAGCTCTAGAATGGTGCCTTGTGGATCTGGCTCTAGGATAAAGAGAAGTGTGTGCTTTTTCCCTTCTTTCCTGAGGCAGTAGGGAAGTACTGCCTATTGTCATCTCGTTTTCCATTACTATACTAGTTTGTTGTTGTTGTTGTTTTTTGTTTTTTTCTGGTACCAGGAATTGAACTCAGGACCTTGCGCTTCCCAGGCAGGCGCTGTACCGCTGAGCTAAATCCCCAGCCCCAGCTATACTAGTTTTAATGGTTGATGATAGGAATTGTAAACATTAGATACTGAACTTTTTTGCCTTCTTTAGAACTATTTTTTCCCAGTTTGTAGAGTTTTGTGTTTTCTAAGTCTGGGAATCATTAATCAGAAGTACCTCTTCCCACAGATTTTACAAGAGTATGTCAATCTGGTGGAAGATGTGGACACAAAGTTGAACTTAGCCACTAAGTTCAAGTGCCATGATGTCGTCATTGATGTGAGTTCCCAAGAAATGAGAACATGAGTTAGATCCTAGGTGGATAGTGGGGAATTGCAATATTCTGTGTTCAAGATCCTGAAATGGAGGCTGGGTGTGGAGGGTAGGATCATCAGCAGTGCCTGTAATTCTGGGAATTGGGAGGATGAGGTAGGAGGATTGCTGTGAGTTCAGAGCCAGCCTGGGCTACTTAGTGAGTTCAAGACCAGCCTAAATGACATAGCAACACCCTGTCTCAAAAAACCAAAAAAAAAAAAGTCCTGGAATGGTTCTGTCAGTTTTGATTGATTAGACAAAATAGTCTGATGAGAGAGCCACACTCATGCGCTATTTTCCCAGCGTTCTGATTGGTTTCTCTGTGCTTGTATAATTTGTTTCATTTAGAGAAATCAGAACTGATTAAGTTACGTAGCTCTGCAGACTCCACTCCAGAACGAAGTTCTGTGGGTACCTTACTCCATGTTATCCCACTGTAACTTCTTGACCTCTCCTTGAAACTTGGGTCAAAGTAGTGATAGTGACCAAAAAAAAAAAGACCCCTCATAGAGAAAGCTGATTTGGGGTTTGTTTTGTTGTACAGACCTGCCGAGACCTGAAGGATCGTCAGCAGTTGCTTGCATATAGAAGCAAGGTAGACAAAGGATCTGCAGAGGAGGAGAAAATTGATGCCATTCTCAGTAGCTTGGTGAGCAGCTATATTTACCCCTCCAGTGAGCCTAGAAGATAGATGGTTCACAAAATAATATCAAATGTATGTTTTTAAACTAGCTGAGCCACATTTATATAAGATTGGCCTGTGGGCTAAGATATCAAAAGCACTGCTTCAGACAGAAGAACTTCTTCCTGAGGTGTGGGATTCTAGAAGGGTATCTACAGGTCTCAGATAAGACTTAACTGGTGCTTTGATCATTGTTAAACCTATCAGAGGATTGGAACTATAAAATAAATGTTACAGATTCAGAATACCCAGACTGTATAGTTTCCTGCTGATGGATATGATTTACCTTTTGGAAATCAGAAGTGGCTAAAATAGACTTCTGCTGTTTGGACAGTACAGCTGGTTCACCTCTCATAGTATGAAATTACTGAGCTTTTTGTTATCCTGGAACTTAGTTTCCTGTTATATATTTTGGCACCTATGAGAGGCTAACCTAAAGCTAGAGAGTCTTGGTCCTGAGGAGGACAGACCAGAACAAGTGCCCTAAGTCAGACATTCTGTAAAATACAGAATAGCTACTTAATCTATCTCTTTACAAGTGAACTGACCTACATATTAAAAAAAATTTGCTGGGTGTGGGGGTGCATGCCTGTAGTCCCAGCACTTGGGAGGCTAAGGCAGGAGGATCATTGCAAGTTCAAGACCAGCCTGGGCTACAAAGTGAGCTCAAGGCCAGCCTGAACTATACAAGGAGACCCTGTCTCAAAAAGAAAAAAAAAAAAATCTTCCTAGTTTAATCCCTATTTTCCTTTTTCTTATATCATTTCCCTGTGAGCCTTGATTTATTGCATTCCCTCTGCCTCTCTGTAGGGGTAAGTAGAAACTGATCACACATGTTCATTGTTTGCTCTTTTCACAGCAAATTCGATGGAAGAATTGAGTGGCATTAGCCGCCCTGAAACCTGCCTCATTTCTTTCTTTCCTGCCTGCGAAAGTAGAGAGCTCTTCTTTGGGAGAGTTATAGCGTCACATCATTTGGGCCCATCAGCAGGCAGTACCTGCTACTCTTGGAACAGAAACCAACCTGGGCACAGGTAGCTTCAGACTGATTTTCTGTCTAAGGCAAGGCACATCATTTAAGGGCCAAGATCTAACACTTTGACTCGTGAGAAAGATACTCTCTACCTGGTGCTCATGTGAAGGTGGGAGCCCATACTGGGTAAGATCTCTCTTGGTTTGAGAAAAGTGACTGCTCCCCAAAGGAAGTTTCCCAGACTAAGAAGAAGCAGTGTCACAGGGTGGCTGCTCCATTCTGCTCAGTTAATTATGGGCATTAACAGTTTTGCTGTGAAGGAAGTCACAACAGAACCAAAAAGGCTGTCTTCCAAGGACCTCAGGAAAGGGTGCCAGTATTGCTCAGGACCTGCTGGAGCCACCTAAACCAGACTGCACAGAGCCCTCCACTTTATGGCAGACATTGCCCAGATGTTATATTTCTTCAGCCACTATCCCTCTGCTGCTTCAGTCTACTCTTTGTCCAAAAACTTAGAGATCCTCTCTCAGCTGCACACTGGGATGACCTTGTTTGGGTGATAAGACATCCCTCTTATCTTCTCCTTCTGTCCCAACCCCCAACTTACATGGAGCTCAGATTCAGCAGTGCTGGAGAGCTCTCCCTTTAGGAAAATTTCATTATTTCACTGGAAGTGTTCAGAAGTTTCACCTGGGCTAACTCAGCAGCATTTCTGTGAGGATATCTAGATGGAGGTTTTATTTTCACACTTGACTTTTGAGAGGATGTTCTATCATGCTAATTTCTGCTCTGTACCAATATCAGCCTCCTCTTTGTGATTCACCTGGGCTTTCTTGACATGCCTAGACTCCTAATAAAGCCATTTCGTCTTTGGTGCCTTCTCTTCCCTACCCAGTTGTTTTGTGCAGAATGGTGAGGTAACTGCTCAATATCACTTGTTTTCCCAGTTCTGCCACTGATAGGCTTTGTGGTGCCGGGTGAGTCCTTTTCTTTTTGGACTCATCTTCATCTGAAAAATGGGGGCCTGATAATCTATGACCTTTCAAGTTCTGTACTCCTCTGTCTGGAATGGTTGAAGTGATAGGAAGAGAAGAGATGATGCTCCTTCAGAGGCACACAGTATGCTGTAAGGTAATGTGGTTCTCAGCTGGGACCTTGACAATATCCGAATGTATTTTTATTGCCACACTTTGGAGAGGCAAGGGATTCTGCTAAATACCCTCTAATGCACAGTGCAGCCTCTCCAAATTATCTGCCCAAAATGTTAGTACTGCTAATAATGAAAGGCCTGTTTTAAGCAAATTAGATTGCATGTTTTGCTTCTCCATTTTATAATCACCTTTGCAGTTTCAGGTAACTTGATCTTTAGTTCCTTTCCTGATTATCCTTGCTGTTGAAGAAATGGGAATTTAATTGCTAAACTCTGTTAAAGTTTTTGGCTTATCTTCAAACAAACAGTAGTAATTTATTAAATAGTATATCAGTTATAGTTCAGTCTGAAAAGCAGGACCACTAGGAGTATATATACATGATCTAATCTAACATTTGTTACAGGGATCTTATTTAGGTATGGGAACTAGATAAACAGTCTGTGTAAGATGATTGTTTTCCTGTCTGGTGGAAGAGCTTGAAATTCATGGGGCGGGCAGTAAGGAAAGGAAAACGGATGTAAAGTGAATGATAGCATGGACAAGCCTGAAGCCGTGAAATAGACCAAGACTCACCTGTGTGCTCACCACCTCCAACTTTGATGGAGTGTGTGTCCTGCAGAAGCTGATGGCCTAGGAATAGTCAACTATAAGAGTATTTAGAGGAAGGAAGAGCAGTTACAGACCCAGCTGCTATCCCACACTAACAAGGTAGCCAACATATTGGCAACAGTGTGTGTGAACTCTAGAAGTATATGCCCCAGCCTTGCAAGCTGAAACAAACTAGTTGCTGTTTCATTTCCACCTTACAGATTTTGCACAAAAACATCTCCTATGGTTCACCATAATAAAAAATGCACAAGGAAGGGAATTTTGTTTGTTTTGTTTGTTTGTTTTTCCATACCAGGAATTGAACTCACGACCTTGCACTTGCTAGGCAGGCACTTTGCCGCTGAGCTAAATCCCCAGCCCCAAGGAAGGGAATTGTGGAAAACAGAGTTCAACTTAACCAAGTCATATTACATATTATGAAGCTACAACTGAGTCTCTATTTTTGAGAATGCATAAAGGCTAGGCCTAGAATTCACATCTGTTCATTTGAATGTGTGCTGCATTAGTCATGCCAATCTAGGAAGTTGTGTGTTCCTCTTTTTTTTTAGAGAAGGGAACATCACTTGCAACATTAGGATGCCCTACTACACTACTTTGGTATGAGGAAACGTTTCTTAGATTTGATAGAAACTTCCATGCTTTTCACTTCAAGTACTAGGGACATGGCTTACAAGGTTATGCTAAGCCGGGCATGGTGGCACATGCCTGTAATCCCAGCACTCAGGAGGCTGAGGCAGGAGGATCGTTGTGAGTTCAAGACCAGCCTGGGCTACAAAGTGAGCTCAAGGCCAGCCTGAACGGCACAGCGAGACCCTGTCTCAAAAAAGTTTAAAAAAAACCAAACAAACAAGGTTATGCTAACCTGTGGTATAGCATCCTTACTATAAGAGGTTTTAGAGAAGCCAGATAAGGGGCTGGGGATTTAGCTCAGCAGCACAGCGCCTGCCTGGCAAGCGCAAGGTTGTGAGTTTGATTCCAGGTATCGGAAAAAAACCAAAAAAACAAAAACAAACAAACAAAAAAGAGAAGCCAGATAAAAGGTCCCATATTGTATGATTTCATTGATACGAAATACTTGGAATAGGTACAGTACATCCATAAACAGCAGATTGGTTTCTCCAGGGGCTTGGATGGGAAAGTATAGGAAGTCATTGCTTAATGTGAATAGGGTTTCCTTGTCCTAGCACCAGAGGTAGTTGCAAAGCATTCTGAATATACCACTAAATAGTTCACTTTAAAATGGCCTCTCTTTTTTTTTTGAGATGGTGGTCTCACTGTGTAGTTGAGGCTGGTTTTTAACTGTGTAGCCCCAGGCTGGCTTCAAACTTGTGGCAATCTTTCTGTCTCAGCCTCCCAAGTGTTGGGATTACAGCTGTGTGCCGCTATGCATGGCATAAAATGGCTAATTTTATGTTAGGTGAGTTTCACCTGAGTATTTTCATTTTGTTTTGTTTTTACATTTAACAAGAGTACTAGAGACTGGAGTACTTTGAAATTCTGATCTTAATTTTGTCATTACTATAAAATTGGTCACTGATTTCTTAAATACAAAAAGAAGGGGTTGGAAAGATATACATGATATTTCAGTCTACAAAATAAACTCCTAGAAATCCTAACTCCTGTGTTGGGAATATTGGTCTGGTATAGTACACCTACAAATAGTGAAAGGAACTTGTATCCTCATGTTCAGGTCAGGAAAACCTATGGGTGGGTCTGGCCCCATTAAAAATCAGACTGAAGTGATTTGGTAGCTGAGAAGTCATAAAGACAATTTTTTGGGTAATTCTTAGAAATGCAGTTTTTTGCCTGCCTGGATCAGAAGTACTCAGTAGTAGAGCTCTGCCTCTGACAGGGCGTGTGGTGCTAGGTAATCTCAGTTTGGTTAGTGAGAGATGTATGTAGTTGGGTTTATGTACCTCAAGGTTTATTTTAAGAAATCTAGATGTTTCGGCCCTAGATAAGGGACAGTGATATTTAGCTGGGGCTCTTTTCAAATTTAGTGAAAAGGGAGAGTTTCTTTGAAATGAGGTCATGTGTGTTTGGTCATATTTCTGAAGTAGAGCATGAAAGGGAGGCCATCCTGGCCTAAGGACACCTCTGAAACCTGTTGCCAGTGGAAATTCATCTGCTGCAAAGATACCTGTAACCTGAATTTGAATGAGAGAGGTGCTAAATCTCACCATCACAAGTGACCTCAGCGTACTTGTGACCTCAGCACACTTGTGACCTGACATACACGTCATCATACATAAGCCCTCCTACATAAGCCTTCGTTCTTCCAGGGTAGGGAGCCAAATTGATTGGTATGTATCACTGCAGGGTATGGTGGCTTTGAAATGGACATACTAGAAGACCTTAAGTCCCTGCAGTTTGAGTATGGGATTTCAGAGGAAGATCGTTCCTGGCTTTATTTGCGGGGCCGTTCTCGGGGACTATTGATTGAGGCCTGTGCCCATGCAGTGTTCTTCTGCAAAATATGCCATACTTTCAGGTAAGCTGTATCCAAGTTAAAGAAGATAGATAAGATTCTCATGGCTGAGAATATAATTGACTTAAACTTTTTATATTGGATAAACTTAGTCAGTGGATTGTTTTTCTATCTTTTTCAACCCACAATCACTACTTCTCCAAAAGAACTAGGAAAATCCACTGGAATCTCCTGGCTGTGATTATATAATAAAGCATATAGATCGGTGATAATTTCCTTTCAGCGGGTAGACTGATTAAATGATCACTCACTGATTCATTCACTTACCTGTTAGGATTACCAGCTTATTCTCCACAGCAGTTAATGACTAGCCATTCCTTGTCTGTTGGCTATAGGTGGAGTCAATTTTTTCCTTTGGGGTTGACCTAATAGTGGACTTCTCCATCGAAGGAAAGCCACCTGGCATTTTGTAGTCCCTGTAGCTGGATAACTTTCTTGAAACTAGTGAGTTTCAGATAAGCTTTCAGTCCAATCCCAGTTTCTGGTATTTTTCTACAATGTGGCTTCAGACAGTTGAGTAGGAGGTGTGTATGAAACAAATACCTAGAATTAGGATCCTGTATTTTGTAACTTTAGGCATCTCCTGGAGTGTAGGTTATCTCATTCTACTCGTTTATTTTTTTCTGAAATGAGATAAACAGCATGGTGGGACTGGATATTTTGTTTAAGTTATTACTTTTATTAGTACACATTTTCAGTCTGTAATGATTACATATATTTCAGGGAGCTGGTATACGTACATGGAACATCCTAATTCTTTTTTATCCATCACCTTTCCCTCCTTTCTCTTCCCTCTTCCTCTATCTCTTGGACCCCTTTTCTTTTTTACAAAATCTATCTCCCTGTTTCCTATTATCTTTTATTTTTTATTTTTGGTTTCTCATATGGGACCAGATCTGAATTGATCCTATTTATATGTATACCCTAAGAAGGCAAGCTTCTTAGTGAGTTTGCTAATTGTCCTATGGATAAGGGTGTGTAAACTTAATGATTGTACCAGAGTCTCTAATTTTGCCGAAATACAGAACAAATAAAGTTGTCTGTAGCAATAAAAGTAATACTTTATGTATTTGGAGGTGAGCCTTTGTTAGTCACGGGCTAAAGAAACACATCCAGAACCAACAAACAGGAAGTGAATCTCTGAAAAGATTGTCCAAATCCTTATCCCCAATATTTTAGGTCTGTTTGCTTTCATAAACCATTTACTCAGCCAGGTGTGGTGGTGCATGCCTGTAATCCTAGCACTCAGGAGGCTGAGGCAGGAGGATCTTTTATCAGTTTGAGGCCAGCCTGGGCTACAAAGTGAGCTCAAGGCCAGCCTGAACTACATAGCGAGACCCTGTCTTAAAAAGATAAACAAAAAAAACCCCATTTACTCATAAATTCTAACACTCTTAAAAAGCAAAACTGCTGGGTATGGTGGCACATGCCTGTAATCCCAGCACTCAGGAGGCTGAGGCAGGAGGACTGCCCTGAGCAAAAGGCCAGCCTGGGCTACATAGTGAATTCAAGGCCAGCCTGGACAACAGAGCAAGACCTTGTCTCACAGAAAAAAAAAAAAAAGGAAGTTGCAGTATAACCAGGCAAGTACAAAATCATTAACAGTTTTAAAAGGATGAAGAAAAACGATTACAGTTTATTGGAAATAGTCCCTTTCTTAAGCCAGCACAACTTGGTATAATCAAGAAAAAACACCCAATTGGTGGCTTTTACTTGAAGAGAAAGAAAAAAGTGAAATGTACAATATGCCCTACATTCTAGCTTTTTAGAGTTAATTGGGAACCAATATACTTGGAAAGTGAGGAGCTCAGTGGTTGGCATACAGAGAAACTGCAGTACCTCAGAAAGACACCAGAGTGCAGGGGTGTACAAACTCTCACTGCCCCTCTAAATACAAACGGGCAACCTTCTCCACTTGAGAAATTACAAACATAAGCCCAAAAAAGACATTCCATAGAAAAGGGTTGAGAAGGTCCCCAAATCTCCCAATGAGTCAGTTGGTAAAGGTCTTCTCCTGAATGAACCCAGACTAAAGATTAGGAGAGGTGGCTGGTTTTTTAGCTTCCCAAACCCCAGAAAAGAATATCACGAAAATGTGGCACAATCAAAGGAACAAGTGTAACAGTCTGGAAACCAACTCTGAAGAAACATATATGCCTTGAAAAGTTAAAAATATTTTTAAAGAAATTCAGTGAGCTACAAGAGAAGACAGATGAACAGTTAAATGAAATCAGGAAAACAGTACATGAACAAGTGAAAAACTTTTTTATATGGCCCAAAATTTCTTGAACTGAAGGATACAATAACTGAAATGAAATTCACAAGAGGGTTTCAACATCAGGCTTAACCAAGCAGAAGAATCAGTGAACTCAAAGATGGAAATTACTATTCAGAACAACAACAAAAATAAAGTGGAGAAAGTTTAGGAGACTTGGGACACCATTAAGCAGACCAATATGTACATTCTGGGAATTTAAGAAGAGAGAATGAGGTTGGTGTCAGTGACCTATTACTCAGAAATGCCTTAAAAATAAGAAAACATGAAAAATGGGTCCAACAGCTGGTAGATGATGCAAAGAAGGCTAAGGTTAATTGGAATTGGTGAAAAGTCAAAATGTAGCATAAATACTATTTTAAAAAACAGAAATAATGACAAAAAACATAACAAATGTGGGAAAAGATTTTTAACATACAGGTAAGTGTGGCATATAGAACCCCAAATACCACAGTGAGAAAAGAAAGTGTTGACAGACACATCATTGACAAAATCCAAGAAATCCAACACAAGGATAGAATCATAAAAGCTGTTAGAAAAAAGCAACAAATCACTTCTAAAGGAAAATGCATTAAAATTATAGCAGACTTCTGAACACAAACTTTAAAGGGCTGGAAAGTTTGGAGTGAAATGTTTCAAACCCAAAAGAAAACTTCCAACCCAGAGTGATACATTCTGCAAAACTGTCTTTCAAAATTGATAGAGGAAGAAAAAAAAAAATTGATAGAGAAACCATGTGTAGTGGCACACGCCTGTAATCCCAGCACTCAGAAGACTGAGGCAGGGGGACTGTTGTGAGTTCAAGGCCAACCTGGGCTGCATAGTGAGTTCAAGGGCAGCCTGCACTACATAGTGAAACCCTGTCTCAGAAAAAAATTGATAGAGCAAAAGGACTTTCCACCACAAAGAGCACCTAAGAAACTCGTGACCACCATGCACCAACGGGAATAAGTCAATGCCTTTCAGTAATAACTTTAAATAGTCTTAGTTCCCCAGTAAAAAGAACTGACAGATCGGATCAAAACAAAATCCAAATGTATGTTTACAGGGAACACATTTAATCCAAAAGGAAATTGATATACTAAAAATCTTGGAAACAGCCCATCAATTGATGAATGGATAGAGATGTGTGTGTGTGGTTTTTTTACTATAATGGAGTATTAATCATAAAGAAGGATAAGTTTGAGATATTTCTAGGTAAATGGATGCCATTTACCATTTAAAAGACTATACTCAAGTGAAATAAATAGGATGTACATTTAAACATTGCATTGTGCCAGGCATGGTGTACACCTGTAATCCCAACACTTGGGAGGCTGAGGCAGGAACATAGATGCGAGTTCAAGGCCAGCCTAGGCTACAAAATGAGTTCAAGGCCAGCCTGAACTTCATAGTGAAACCCTGTCTCAAAAAAACACAATGTAATCCCAGCACTTGGGAGGCTGAGGTGGGAGGATCACTGAGTGTGGGGCCAGCCTGAGCCACAAAGTGAGTTCAAGACCAGCCTGAACTGTGTAGTGAAACTTCGTCTCAAAAAGACAATCAATCAGTATTACATTGTTTCTGTGGTATGGGAAATTGAAAGAATAAATAAGGACCAAAATATGCAGTAGATATTATGAAATAGGAAGAAAATGTCAGATAGGAAGGAGAACAAGGGGGAGGGGTGGTGGGGAAGAAGGGAAAAGAAAAGAAGGGAAAACTGTAAACAAAGCTTTTGTAAATAAGGGGTTGAAAGGAGGGGAAAGGATTAGAAAAAAATCAAGATCTATTAGATACAGGTACAAATTCTTTGTGATGAATATGATCATTACATATAATTAATTGAAAAGGAAAAAATGAAAAAAAAAAAGGATGCAGAATAATATGTTGTGCAATGGGAACCCCAAAACAAGCAGGACTACTTAACCTATTCTTCAGACAAAGTAGACGTACAGCCTGAACTGATCCGAGGAGACAGTATGTCAGTGCATGTTGGTTAAGGGTACAATTCAACAAGAAGGAACAACAGTTACAAACATGTATGGACCAAACAGCAGCACACCCATCCTCACAAAATAAGCACAACTGGACATAAAAGATGAGACAAACATCAACACACTTCTAATGGGAGGCCTCAGTACCCCACTGCCACAGATAGATCAAGTAGACAAAAATAAAAAATCAAACAGCAGAGTTGAGCCAAACCTTCGAACAAATGGGCTTAATAGATATCTACAGTGTTTCACCCAACAACAAAGAATACATATTTTTCTCAGCAGCATATGGAACTTTCTCCAAAACAGGCCACATGTTAGCCCATAAGGCTTGTTTAAGAAGATGCAAAAGACATACACACAGCTAGATAAGTGTCAGCATCTTCTGTTAGAATTATTCTGTAAAAACAATTTTCTTATATAGATTATTTCCCACTCATATTAACCCTTGTTTGTGAGACACTTAGAATAATGTTTGGGGAAAAGTTAGTAGATTTTTCAAAATGAAAAAAGGAAAATGCAAAAGAATTGAAATTATGCATATTGTCACATCAGCACAATGAAGCAAAATCAGTGGCAAAAGAAACTGCAGAAATTATGCAACCACTGGAAATTAAACAATACACTTTTGAATAATCAGTGGGTCGCAGAAGAAATCAAAGATGAAATTAAGTCAGTTCCTAGAATAAAACAGTGCCAGTGCAATATACCAGGACTTATGGGACAAAATGAAAGCAACCCTAAGAGGAAAG